GTATATGTATATATGTATATATATACAGGTAATCCTCAGCTTATGACCACAATTGAGCCCCAAATTTCTTTTTCTAAGTGAGATAGTTGTTAAGTGAGTTTTGCCCATTTTACAACCTTTCCTGTTACAGTCATTAAATGAATCACTGCAGTTAAGTTAGTAACACCGTTGTTAAGTGAATCTAGCTTCCCCATTAACTTTGCTTCTCAGAAGGTCGCAAAAAAGGTTCACCTGACCCCAGGAACACTGCGACCATCATAAGTACGGGTCAGTTGCCAAGCCTCTTAATTTTGACCACGTGCCATGGGGATGCTGTAACAGTCGTAAGTGTGAAAAAAGGTCATAAGGCACTTTTTTCAGTGATGTAACTTTAAAGTCACTTAATGAACTGTTGTAAATTGAGGACTATATATCTACATTATATATCTTTATATCTAAGATAGATAGATAGATAGATAGATAGATAGATAGATAGATAGATAGAGATATAAATACATGATATAAAGATGATAGTAATATAAATACGTGATATAAAGATAGATAGATACTAGGGGAAAGAGAGAGAGAGAGAGAATAAATGACATAACAGAGAATTGTTGATAGATAAATAGCGAGATGATAGAATAGATAAAATAGATGAGAGATAGATGAGAGAGGATAATGGATGGATGAATGGATAGTTAGATGAGGGAAAGGATAATGATGGATGGATGGATAGATACAGTAGATAGATGATAAATAGATAATAAATGACAGATAATAGAAGGAGAACAGATGATAGATAAATAGCAAGATGATAGAATAGATAGATAAAATAGATGAGAGGATAATGGATGGATGGATATGGTAGATAGATGATAGATAAATAGATAATAAATGACAGATAATAGAATAGATGATAGATAAATAGTGAGACGATCGATGATAGAATAGATAAAATAGATGAGAGATGAGAGGATAATGGATGGATGGGTGGTGGGTGATAGATAGCTAGAATAGCTAGATAAAATAGATGAGAGGATAATGGATGAATAGGTAGTTAGATGAGGGAGAGAGGATAATGGATGGATAGATACAGTAGATAGATGATAAATAGATAATAAATGACAGATAATAGAATAGATGATAAATAGTGAGATGATAGAATAGATAAAATAGATAAGGGAGTATAATGGATAGATAGATAGATAGATAGATAGATAGATAGATAGAATTGCTCTTCTATTTGCGGCTTTTCCTGCAGCCATTTGACCTGGTTTCTCTCTCACTCCCATGACTTGATCCACAACTGCACGTCCCTTGCTTAAAACACCCCCCAAAATAGACCTCCAGATGGGGTTTGATGACCAAATTACCTATAGGGGACCTGTCCAGAATGATACCATAGAAACTACACCCCCGCACACCTTCCTAACTAGGAACCATGCTCAGCCTTCTGGGTAAATACAGCAAACATCTGGTTGGTTTGTCATCCAAAGCCATTGCTTATTTTAATTACGAGTTTATTGAGTTCAATTATGGTGCTGCCCGACTCCAGAGTAATCCTGGCGGCACCAAACAGCTAGCGTAACGAGTCGTCATAAGCCCGAGTCTCAGACGTTTGCTTATAACTCTTGTAAAAATACAAACAGAGGATAAAGTCCAAACAAAAAAAAAAGGCCAGGCAGAACATGAAGAGATGCTGAAGGAAATATTTCTTGGGGAAGCTGAAGTAGATATTTCTCTTATTTTTCCACCCCAATCCGGTGAAGCTTACAAGAGATAACACACAGGCCCAAAGATATATTCTTCAAACAACACCTCACTAACCTGTGGAATTTCAGGAGATTGAAGGAAACATGCTGTTAATAGGAAGGTAACGTGAAGATGGGTGGCATTCGAGAAATCTGTCCTCCACGAGATCGAAGGAACTCCAGAAGGATGGATTATTTGAAGACCATCAGCATAGACTCCATGTGACCTGCAAATTGGAGCACATACCTCCAAAAATTGTGTCAACCTTGTAGGTACCGTAGACATCTGGTTGACCACCAATAGATGCAACCTTCTGAACCAGGATGGGCTTTTGAGTGATTCACCAAGATAGTTCTTGGTTTGATGTTCTCCAGTCCTACATCCCTAAGCTTCCACCCACAAACTATGTTCTGGGTGAAGACAACAGATCTTCGGGTCTCCTAAAAAAGTTCCTCTGACCACTAACCAAGTCCCCCTTCTCCTCTCCCCCAGGCTCGGAGAACCATCAGACTGTTCGGGCATTGTCTCTTTCCTATGCTCTGCCGAAGCCAGCTACATCACTGGGGAGACGGTGGCGGTGGCTGGTGGCATGCTGTCCCATCTGTGACCAGAGTTCGTGTCGCCTTCCGATTCAGCTATGACGATGGATAGATAATCGCACAAGGGGATCTCAGAAATAAGATTAGGGGGTGATGGGGGGTGATGGGGAGGGGTATCCCAGCAGCTCCCAGCTGGGTTGGAGGTTGAATCAACTTCAAGAAAGGCAGGTGAACTTTCTTGAGAAGAAGGGATGGCCAACAAAAAATGGACCTCCTGCTAACCAAGTTTGAGTTTGGGTCAACTTCAATAGAGAGGGAGGTCAACTTTCTTGAGAAGAAGTGATGGCCACCCCCCAAAAATCGACCTCCTGCTAACCAAAGAGAGAGGGAGGTCAACTTTCTTGAGAAGAAGTGATGGCCACCCCCCAAAAATGAACCTCCTGCTAACCAGGTTTGGGATGTATGTGTCTTCTGTTGGGTTTTAGGTGGAAAACACGAGGAGGCTGTTGCACACGGCTGAGGTGGAAGGATTCATTTGCGGAATCCTTCAACCTCGGGAGAGCCCACCCACCCCCGCACAAGCTTTCTCCGAGCTGTGTTGAGCGAAAGATGGCTAGGTTGATCCTGGCTTGTTTTAACTTCGTACCTCTCGGAGGTTGGAGACGGGGAGATTGAGGGAGATGGGGGAGGCTTCCCTAATGCTTTTTGGGAAATTAGGGGAGAGTCTTTCCAGGAGAAGGTCTTCAGTGGTGGGGGGGACGGGAACCAGCTTGGGTCGGCTCCAAGATTGGGGGAACAGCCCAAATCTGGGGGTGCAAATACTGCTTGGTGCTCATTCCCGCCCTGCCTCAGCCAGTGCCTTGTGTGTAATAATAAAAATAAAGACATATTTGGAATTGCACACCCTTCGTTGTGTCTGTTTCTCTCTTGGGGAGGGGGGGATGCAGGGAAGGGAACCCCAAAGCCCCCCACCACCAAAGCGGTTCCACCAGACAGTAACCCAACCAACAGCAACCTCTCCCGTTTCGGATCTGATGCCAACAGTCCCCTTCTGCATTTGAGTGAAGGGGGTGAGTGGGATGGTCGGCATACCCAAGGAAGGTCCTCCCTTCGTAGTCTTCCCCCCTCCCCATTTTCCCCCCACCTCCAAGGGACTTTCCCAGGGCACGGCCGCCCTCCCGTCCATCCTTCCATCAGAATAATTCCGATCCTCTCTTTTATCCCCATCCTGATTTTTTTTCCCCTCTCCCCTCCTTCCTTTCTCATTCGATCTGCCATCTGGGAGGGTGGGAGGGCAGTGGCGGCGGGAGAACACCCCCCACCCCCAATTGCTCCCAGTTCCCCCCCCCCCCCCGCCCTAAAAAACACAAGATCTTTTGCTTAGTGCCTTCGGTGGGTTTTCTTCAGTTTTCATTTCATCTCTCCATCTCTCTCTCCAGCCATCCCTCTTTCCCTACCCCACCCCGCCGTGTCCCGTGCTTTTTCCTCCGCCAGATCCCTCCATCACCATCTATTCGTCTGCCTCTTCGCCTGATCCGTTTGTTTTTTTTTCAACCCCTTCTTTCCTCCCCCCCCCCCCCCACACTCCCCTTCCCCAAATTCCACGTTTTGGAAGGGTCCCGCCAGCTCTCTCACGACCACACCACCCCCCTCCTGCTTCCTCCACGGGGCTGTATTTTTTCCCGGCCCCCACCAGCGGTATTCCCAGCGGAGATTCCTCTCCATCGATCTACTGGCTCTCGTCTTGGGTGTGTCTCTGAAGCGCATCTGTGCCTTTCCAGAAGATCTGGCGAGTGGCTCCCTCCCTCCCCCCCCCCCCCCCCCCTTTCTTCTTCTTCGCCTTCCAGACTCTATCGTGGGAATCCACACTCCCGGTAAGCGTGGGGATTATTCGGGGATATTTCTCTGAGCGACGGAGGAGCTGTTGCTTTGGGGCTATTCCTGCATGCGGCGGTCGTTAAATGAAACCCAACCTATCTATCTATCTATCTATCTATCTATCTATCTATCTATCTATCTATCTATCTATCTATCTATCTATCTATCTATCTGTATATATATTTCCGCCCATCCAATGCACCGTGCAGATTTGGGTTAGCAGGATTTTGCCAAGTGTGTTTTTAATGTTCGTAGCTTGTTTCATGCTTCAAGATACACAGGCGATCTGGGCTTAGAATGAGCTGTTGCAAAGGCTTGTCCCCTTTCGCTGGAGAATGTGGGGCACGTTTGGGGCGGGCTCTGCAGCTGACACCAATTCTGCCTGGGTGTATAAAAAAAAGTGAACCTCACACAACGGAAGCAGAAGGGTGGTACACACCAGACCCTTGCTTGTACACCCTGCCTTACTAATTATTATTATTATTATTATTATTATTATTATTATTATTATTATTATTATTATTATTATTGCATGTGCACAGGTCTGGATTTGGGGTGTGCAACTGGGTTGGGTGTGCATGCGTGTGTGTGTGTGTGTGTGTGTGTGTGTGTGTGCAGCCTTCTGCTGACTGAGCATGAATTCCTGCTTTTTTTTCCCCTGCAGCTTGTATGTGGGTCGGGGGAGCCCTGGTTTTGTGTGCGTGTGTGTGTTTTTTTAACACCCATTTCGAGTACCTGATACATACGTGTGTATGCATGTGTGTGTGTGCGTGTTCACGCGCATGTGTGATCTTTCTTGGGTGATGTCAACCTGCCTTGTGTGGTGGACAGCTTTGATCGTGGTCCTTGTTTACAAAAAAAAAGTGCCTGTATATGTGTGTGTGTGTACAAGAGTGTGGCGGAGGGGGGTGTTGCACATCTGTCTCCCTTAGGAGGCAACGGTGTGAGATGTTTTCGGTCTTGGCTTGCTAACAAACAGAGGTGAATCTTAATTCTTTCCCTCTGATTCTTTGCTTCTTAATTTCTCTCCTTCCCCCTCCTCTCTCTCCCTCGGCTCGCTCTCTCCGTTTTTTTGCAACATGCATGGATTATAATCTTAGTTTTATTAGCCATCCTGGTATTTTAGTGTTTCTCAGCCTTGATAACTTTAACAACTGTGGACTTCAAATCCCAGAATTCTTTCTTTCTTTTCTTTCTCTTTTCTCTTTCTTTCTTTCTTTTCTTTCTCTCTCTCTCTCTTTTTCCTTCCCTCCCTCCCTCCCTCCCTCTCTCTCCACTGTTTTTGCAATGCTCGCTTGGGTATCTGCCTAATCCTTCTGTCTCTCCATGCAGGTGGTTCTCTACGTTTTGTCCTATCTGGTGCTCCTCCTCGCCAATCCTACTGCCTCTCCATCGCTCGGAAGAGGTTGGCTGATGGTGGGGATGGTCTAGATTGCTTCTGATGGGCTCTAGGGAGGGAAACGCCAGGATCCGCTTTTCTGTCTGATGCGACAGAGGTTTGTGGACTCTGGATTCCAGAACCTCCGTTCAGGGATGGGCTCCTAACTAAGACCAAGAAGAGTCCAGCAAGTCTAGTTGAGGACCTCAGCCACCATGAATGGAGTATCACCATGCCTTCATGGCCACCTGCACTTTCTGGTTGTCTTCTGTCCATAAGTCATCACTGATCAACCCAGACCACCCTAAGCTTCTCAACCAAAGAGTTCAGCCTGAACTTGTGACATGGAAATGTTTGTCTCTTGCTGCTGAAGAAGCAAGAGGACTCACCAAAATGAAGTTCTTCTAGGAACTAGCATGTTTGGTCCTCGCCAAGGAAAGACCAACCGGCTGTCCCTAGGCTCTACAAAGCGCTTCGATTGTCTGTGGCGCCACCGGATTCCTCGACAACCTCTGAAAATCCATATCTTCTGATATTCCAGGTGTCCAACACATCTCCAGTTCTCTGGACCTCCAACTAGACAACACAGAGCCTTGAGAAACATCTATAGATAACTCCTGGACTATTGCTTTCTTTGAAGTTGCAAGACTTTTTTGGAGGGGTGGGGGAGGTTTCTATTATACTAGGAAGAGTAGTGTAGCTCAGACGATTCCACAGGATTGTGCCCAGGCGATTTTTTTTTTTAACGCGTATTTTGCACTTTCACGCCCATGACTTTTTCTAAACTTTAATATAATCCCATCTCCGCCGCATGTTCATTACCACTAAATGTTGGGCTCACCCTACTGCTAGTTTCTTCCTGCTTCGGGACTCTGGAGTGTTGGGACTCCGGAGTTGATGCCCAACAAAAGTCAAACGAGCCGGCGTTAGCCAAATTGGAATTGCAGCTCAGCTGAACCAGAGGCTCCTGGCTAGAGACGGAGAACGGCTTGCCAGATCGATGTCTGGCCATCCAAAGGGAGCCATGGAAGACTGAAGCCAGTCTGGGTGGAGCCGAGCCGAGCCATGTAGAAACGACTTCGGCGGGCAGGAGGGATGTGCACGGGGACTCGGAGGTAACTGCAGCCCGACTGGCTGGGGAGAAACATTACATGAATGTCCAACGGAGGCAGATTTGATTTTGATGATGGAGGCTGTTATGTGGGCGACTGGGAAGAGGGCCGGGCACATGGCTATGGGGTGTGCACAGGCCCGGGCGCCCAGGGGGAATACAGCGGGCGTTGGAGTCGTGGCTTCGAGTCTCTGGGTGTTTACACTTGGCCCAGCGGGAATACCTACCAGGGCTTCTGGAGTCAAGGCAAGCGCAGCGGCCTGGGCACGGAGCGGAAGAGCAAGTGGAGTTACAAGGGGGAGTGGTGCCATGGGCTGAAGGGCCATCTGGGCATCTGGGAAAGCCACTCGGGAGTCGTCTACGAAGGCATGTGGCGTGAAGGTCTTCAGGATGGCTACGGGATGGAAACCTACGCGGACGGAGGTGAGTCAGGAGAGCAGGCTGAGAAGGGGGTTGGGGGCTGGGCTGTTATTTCTTCTTGGTCTGGTAGGTCCTGATGTCGTATCCGATTGTCCACTTGGCCCATAGCATTGTGTCCCTGTCCAGTTCTCCTCCATAAGTCTGTTGAGGGGCGGTTGGAGAAGAACCTGGGTTCTCTCCATCTCTCCGTACCGTTTTCATTCCCTGTTGCTTTGCCCCTTCATCATCCCACCTCCTTGGGACATCCATTGTCCTAAGTCGAGGGGTGTCAAACTCAAGGCCTGCAGGCCGAATCCAGCCTGTGGGGTGCTTAAATCTAGGACCGGCCTGCAGGGCCTCTGCAGGGCCCATTTCTGACTGGTAGAGTGCTGCAGCAGGCCATTGAGGCCAAAAACGGGCAGTGCAGAGGCCTCCCATGGTCTCTCATACCTTGTTTTGACTGGCAGGATGCTTTAGGAGGCGTCTGTCCCATCTCCCCAGAGGAGAACTACAATGCTGATCTGGCCCTCGAAGAAATCCAGTTTGACACCCCCGGTCTAGATGTCCTGCTAGGTGCCGAAGTACCACCAGTAGTATATGTGTACCACAGATTGAAAAATATGGTCCTAAGATATTGGGGGGTGATGGTTGTGGTGGTAATGGTTGGTGGTGATGTGGTCCATAGAAAGTAGACCAGATTTCTCCATAGACTTTTCATTCCCTCTTCCTCCATTTCCTCATCTAGATATTCTTCTGCCACACCATCTGTGTGTCCTAAGACAATGGTAGAGGTGGGAGTGGTAATGAGGTTAGTGTTGATGATGGTGATGTGTTCCCCTGAAAGTTGGTGAGATTTCTTCATGCACTTTTCGTACACCGTTGCTTTGTTTCTTCATCTAGATGTTCCTCTAGAACACCACCTGTGTGTCCTAAGATGATGGTGGAGTTGGTGGTGGTGATAGTGATGGTGATGGTTGTGGTGAGTGAGGATGATGCGGTCCATAGAAAGTTGGTCAGATTTCTCCATATACTTTTCATTCATCCTTGCTCCATCTCTTCATCTAGATGTTCCTCTAGAACACCAACTGTGTGTCCTAAGATAATGGGTGGAGGTGGTTATGGTGGTGATGGATGGAGTGGTGGTGATAAGGATGGTGATGATGATGATGGCAATGGTGGTGAAGGTTCTTTCCATCTTTCTCACACACACTGTTGCTTTGTGTCTTCATCTAGATGTTCTTCTACCACACCACCTGTGTGTTCCAAAATAGTAATGGAAGTGATAGTGGTTGAGGATGAGGTGGTCCATAGAAAGTTGGTCAGATTTCTCCATATACTTTTCCATTCACCCTTTCTCCATCTCTTCATCTACCAGTAGATGTTCTTCTAGAACGTTCTCTCTGTCCCATGACAGGAGATGGTGATGGTTGTGGTGATAATGATGGCAATGGTGGTGACACTTCTTTCCACCTCTCTCTCATGCATTGTTCACACACAGTTGCTTTGTGTCTTGATGTAGATGTTCCTCTAGAACACCATCTCTCTGTCTGAAGATGATGGATGGAGATGGTTGTGGTAATGGTGGCGGTGGTGATGATGATAAGGGTGATAATGATGATGGAAGTGGTGGTGATGGTTCTTTCCACCAGCCTCCCGCACGATTGCTTTGTGTCTTCATCTAGATGTTCCTCTAGAACACCATCTATGTGCCTCAAGATAATGGGTGGAGGTGGTTGTGGTGTGTGTGATGTGGGCCAGAAGAAGCTGACCTGATTTCCCAGTAGAGTTTCAAACTCAACTGGGCCATAAAATGTAGCAAGTTTTCACACACAGATTGCATGCCGGCTTCAAGCAACCTTAACCTCTTTAAACGTGGGAATAACCAACTAATCTCGTAAATCCTTGAAAGAACAGTAGGAGGCAAACCAACATGAATGAAATCCCATCCGTGACATTTAACCACTGTTTTCAAAAATGAAACCCTCGGGTCTTCTGGGGAAGACACTCCTGTGTAGGTCCTTGACCCTCACTCATGACTTTTCTCCGTGGTCTCCAATAGAAACACCTGGGGTTCTTGATCCAGTTTCCATACACCAAGACGATTCTTGGTAGGTCTGAGAAGGCCTGAGTGGTCTTCTTCAGCTGGACTGCTTTGTTGGACATCTCTTGTCCAAGAGATGTGGAATGTCCTTCATCTTCCTTGGTTGACCTCATCTTTCCCTCCATTGTAGGTACTTACCAAGGCCAGTGGCAGTCTGGCAAGCGTCATGGATATGGAGTGCGCCAGAGTGTCCCATATCGACAAGCCACCCTGGTGCGCTCCCCACACCGGACCTCCCTGGAGTCTCTCCACAGTGAGGCCGATCACAATGCCCCTGTGGTACCTCTCCCTCCTCCTTCACTGCCACCTCCACCACTCCCCAGGGACAGCCCTGCCTCAGGATCTAGGGGTGGCTTTGTTTTAGCTTTCCCTGGAGATCCAGACTTCCCCAAGGGGACCAAGAAGAAGAGCGGGGGGTTCTTCCGGCGTTCCTTGCTCCTGAGTGGGCTAAGAGTGCGGAGGGCTGAGTCTAAAGCCTCTCTGGGCAGCAAGCGAGGGTCCCTCAAGAGTGAGGCAGGGGTCAGTTCAGCGGGAAGCGAGGCCACCACCCTCAGTTATGCCGAGACCGAACCTCCTGAGCTGCCTTCAACTCTGACCATTGAAGGTTCTTCCACTGAGGTCTACGCGGGGGAATGGCGGGCTGACCGGCGCAGTGGCTATGGGGTGAGTCGCCGCTCTAACGGGCTGCGGTACGAGGGCGAGTGGCTGGGGAACCGGCGACACGGGTACGGGCGCACCACCTATCCTGACGGTTCCAAAGAAGAAGGGAAGTACAAGCTCAACCGGTTGGTGAGCGGGAAAGTGAAGAACCTCATCCCGCTTCGACGGAGCAAAGTCAAAGAGAAAGTGGACCGAGCCGTTGAGGTGGCCCGGAGAGCAGTCAGCATGGCTCGTCAGAAGCAAGAATTGGCCATCGCCAGGTAAGAAGGAGAACTGGGGGTGGGGGCGGGGAAGAGGATAGAGGGCAGCACGTTCCTACAACCCTCTCATTGATGGTTTCACTCAACGGTTGACATGAGAGAAGGTTGACTTGCCTTGAAGGAATCTTCAAAATGTGGGTGGAGAATGATCGAGTCCATGAGTTGTCCTTACTAGATATCTGTGAACATCAGAACATGAGGTGGTATGTTACCGGTTTGAACCGGTTCAATCGAACCGGTAGTAAAAAAAAAGCCTCCCACGATCAGCTGAAAGGAGAAAGAAGAGAAAAGGACGGGATCAGCCCTCCCACCAGCCCTTGTGTTTTTCTTTATCCTCTCAGCTGATTGGCGCTACAGGCCTCAGCTGGTGTGGGGAAAGCTGCAGGCGCACGTTAGGTGCAGATGCACACGCACGCAATCACCGAACTGGTAGGTGGACCGGCAGGATCCCACTGCTGATCAGAAAATGTTCTTCCATAGTCTAGACCAGGGATGTCTAAACTTAGCAACTTGAAGACTTCCGCCCTTCAACTTAAAGATTCCTGTCCTTCAACTCCCAGAATTCCTTAGCTAGCCTTGGCTGGCTGGGGAGTTCTGGGAGTTGAAGTCCACAGGTCTTCGAGTTGGCAAAGTTGGACACCCTCAGTTCTAGAACTAAAACAAGCTTCACGTGAGGGACAATATTTCTAACAAACCCATTTTACGCTGAGGTTTTTTTGAATTTTATTCCCGGCTTCTGCCTCAGCGTAAAAGTGGTTCATTGGAAAACATATTTCTCAATTTATTCTGATTTTTTTAAAATATTTTTTTTAAAGAGAGGATGCAGGATTACAGATGGTCAAGAGGAGAATTTTTCCCTCTCAGCAGGAGCCATTTTAAAAAGAGACGGAACAAAAATGCTCCTTCTGCTGTTTTTTTTTAGAGTCTCACACAGACTTTAGCATGTAAAAATCCATTGTGATCGGGCCTCCCGGGTAGAAAAATCATTATAAAAATATTGGTGGTAAAGGATTAAAAAAGCTTGTTGTTATTGTTTTTGTGTGTGCATTAGGTGTGTACACTTTGGCTCCACTCGTCAAAATAAAGAGAGATAAGATGAATTGATACAACTTTCTAAGGCTGTCCATCTTTTTCTTCTTCTCTTTTTTTCCATTTGCATTTTCTTTCTTTTTCATCCTTCCCCTGCTCTTCCTCTATTTTCCTCAGTCACCAAATCCCCCTTTTCCTTTCTTTTTTCCATTCTTTTTAAAATATTCCCCCTTTTTAGCCCTTTTCTAGCTGTTTTCTTTTCACATCTCTTCCTGCTCCCTAACCAGGCCTCCCTCCTCTCTCTCCCTCTTTCTCTCTCTCTCTCCCTTTCTATCTCATTCTCCTTTTCTTTCCCTCTTTCTTTCTTTTTCATTCGTTCTCTCTCCTTTTCTCTCTCTCTCCCTCTTTATTTCTCTTTCTCCCTTTTTATCTTTCTTTTTCCCTTTCTCTCTCACTCCTTTTCTCTCTTTCTCCTTTTCTTTCTCTCCCTGTCTTTCTCTCTTTCACCCTTCCTCTTTCTCCCTCTATCCTTTTCCCTCTCTCTCATTCTCTCTCTCTCTCTCTCTCTCTCTCAGTATAATAAAACTGTAGGTGAGTCCATCTGTATCTGTATGTGCGCGAGGGCGCACGCGCGTATTTGTGTTTGTATGTGTGTGTGAGTGTGTAAAAAGGCCGGCTCCTGGTGTAGGCTGCCCAGTTCACCTAGGTAACAGGAGGACGGGATGAGGCGATTGGCTGACGGCTGCCATGGCAACAGCCGCAGCATCCTACGGGCATGGACCAGGGAGGAGAGGGGAGGGAGGGAGGCGGAGCCGTCCAGGGAGAGAAGAGACAGGAATGGGGCTGATCTAGAAATGTCACACACACACACACACACACAGACACACACACACACAGGAGGACGGGGAGAAGAGCGGAGAGGCATGGAAACAAGAGAGGCAGACAGTGAAGAGGAGGAGCTGTGTGCATAAACAAACCAGGATACTAGTTGCGTGGGTGAAGGCAAACCAGGTGTTGTGGGGGTTGATATGTATGTATGGGGAGGGGAGTGAATTGCAAGGACGCAACCAGCCTTCTTTGGGGAGGTGTTGGGGGTTGCATCCAAGCAGAGCCGCCCCATTGCAGCAACAATTCCTTTTTAATATCCTTCTTTTCAGATTCCATGGCGAATTTTTGTAATCTGCAGGCGGTCCTCGACGTACGACCCCAGTGGAGTCCTGCATTTCCCTTATTTAGTGGGACATTAGTTGAGTGAGCTTTGCCCCCCCACCCCCCGGTCTTATGACTTTTTCTCGCCGCTGTTGTTAAGTGGATCGCGGCAGTCGATAGGTTAGCCACCCGTTTGTTAAGTGAATCCGGCTCTCCCCGTTGATTTTGCTTGCCAGAAGGTCGTAAAAGGGGATCGCGGGACCCACAGGGCGCTGAGACCGTCATAAATAGGAGTCAGTTGTGCCAGGCATCTGAATTTTGATCAGGTGACCATGGGGATGCTGCAAAGGTGTGAAAAACAGTCATAAGCCCCTTTTGTCAATGCCGCTGTAATGTTGGTCACTAAATGAACTGTTGTAAGTCGAGGACTATCTATATTGGGGTTAGGCGATGATTAAAATGGCATGTCTATGGAGATCCTCAACCATCCAGGCCAGGGCTGTCCCAAAAGTGTTTGTTTTTTTCAATAGGCAATTGGACTTTCTTTGTTTTTTCTTGAAGAGATTTCACTTCTCATCCGAGAAGCTTCTTCTGTTCTGAGTGAATGGTGGAGGACGGAAGGATTTATTCAGATAGTCCCCATTCAAAGTTACAATGGCACTGAAAACAGTGACTTAGGAATGCTTTTCACACTTATCACCGTTATCCCCTGGTTTACGTGGTAAAAATTCGGAAACTTGTCAAATTGACTTGTATTTATGATGGTTGCAGTGTCATAACCATCATTTATGACGGTTGCGGGATCACGGGATCACCTCATGCAACCTTCAAACAAGCAGAGTCAATGAGGAAGCCAGATTTACTTAACAACCACAATGCTAACGTAACAATGGCAGGGATTCACTTAACAACTGTGACAAGAATAGTCATAAAATGGGGGCAAACCCAGCTTAACCAATGTCTCACTTTAGCAACATAAATTTGGGGCTTAATTGGGGTCATACATCAGGGACTACTTGCATTCCTTGCAGTCCTCTGGTTGTTAGTACTCTCTCTGAGAGCTGTTGAGGCAACTTGGAGGTTTATTTGTGCCCTCGGGGTCCCCTGAATAATGCAAATAGGTGTGGAACCTTCTTAGAAGTGCTGAAGGGGCTGTGTTGTAAAGATTTACAAGCATTTGCACTATTCAGGGGAACCTGAGGGCACAGATAAACCTCTAAGTCGCCTCAACGGCTCTCAGAGAGAGTACTAACAACCAGAGGACTGCAAAGGAATAAAAATCCTTCCATCCTCCACCATTCAGTCAGAACTGAAGAAAGCTTCTCAGATGAGAAGTGAAACCTCTTCAAGGAAAAACAAAGAAAGACCAGTTGAGTCTTGAAAAAGCACCTTGGGGAGTTAAGATGGCGTGTTGTAGTTCCAACCAGTTGTAAGTGGAGAGAGAATGAAGACTCGGGGATATGTTTTGATCCTCAGAAGTGAAGGCCATGCATGGATTGAAAGCGCAAGAAGTTCAGGAAGAGCCGGCCCTCATCCCAAAATTAGAGTGCTCGTTTACAAGGCCCGGAGACTAAACCATATGCTGAACAGCAGCAGGTTTTGGGTCTGGCTAATCTAAAGAAAAGAAGAATTAGGGGTGACACAGTATTCCAAAATTTGAGAAGTTGCCCCAAAGAAGAGAGGGTCAAATTATTCTCCAAAGCACCTGAAGGCAGGACAAGAAACAACAGGTGGAAACTAATCAAAGAGAGAAGCAACCTGGAATTAAGGAGAAACTTCCTAACAGGGAGGACAAATAACCAGTGGAACAACTTGCCACCAGAAATCATGGACGCTCCAGCAGTGGAGGTTTTTAAGAAGAATCTAGACAGTGACTTATCTGAAAATATAGAGGGTCTTCTGCTTGAGCACAGGGGGTTGGACTAGTTGAGCTTTAAGGTCCCTTCCAGCCAGAGGTGGAATTCAATTTTTTTTACTACCGGTTCTGTGGGTGTGGCTTGGTGGGCGTGGCTTGGTGGGTGTTGCAGGGGACGGATACTGCAAAATCCCCATTCCCTCCCCATCCCGCTAACCTGCTTTCCAGCTCTGTTCTCCTGTGCAGGGCAACAAAAGAAGACCCAGCCAATCAGCTGGGACTTGGGAGGCGGGGCCAGTCAGAGGTGATTCTCAGAACTACTCAAAATGTCCGCTACCGGTTCACCAGAACTGGTCAGAACCTGTTGAATACTACCTCTACTTCCAGCTCTATTCTATTCTATTCCATTCCATTCCATTCCATTCCATTCCATTCCATTCCAAGTCCTCACCTTACAACCACAATGGTGGAAGAGTATTTCTGTTGCTAAGCAAGGCTCTGGTCAAGAAAGTTTTGCCCAGTTTTAACAAATGTTTTTCTCATGGCTGTTAAGTGAATCGCTGCAGTTGTTAAGTGAGTCACATGGTCGTTAAGAAGAGTCCAGCCTCCCCCATTGGCTTTGCTGGTCAGAAACTGGTGAAGAAGGTTGCAAATGGTCATCCCTTGATGCTTGATGTCATAAATACAGGCGGTCCTCGACTTATGACTGAATTTGAGTGGCCAAGAATTGAATTGAAAGTTGAGCCCAGAATTTATATGGTTGCGTGAGAAATTTTATTTTTGGACCCATTTTACGACTTTTCTTGCCGCGTTTCTTAAGTGAATCACTGAAGTTGTTAATTTAATAATAACCGTTGTTAAGTGAATCTGGGTTCCCCATCAATTTTGCTTGTCAGAAGGTCTCAAAAGGGATCACGTGACCCCTGGATGCTGCAACCATCATAAATGCGAGTCAGTTGCCAAGCGC